AATATCTTCAGGATCCATCTCCTGTAGGTTATCGGCGCCTACATCCTCCAGCCGTCTAGCGACCACCATGGCTTCACCCTCTTCTTCTACAATAACATCATCAACTAATTCGATGAAGTCGTCCTCTACTTCGATGATGTCATCCTCTCCTTCGATGATGTTGTTGAGAACTTCCCCCTCTTCATCCGAAAACCAATTAGTCTCGTCTTCGAGTGACAATCTCATCAAAACTTCAATAATTTTTTTTAGAATTCATTTTTGATCATTATTTGAGTGAAAACTTGAAACTACTATTAACACCACTGGACAGTAAGTTAAGTTTAGAATGATGAGACTACTTAAATGTTTTTTTGGTTGTAGAGGTGGTGCCCCCACCAATGGTCGAGTGGTGGTGGTGTGAGGTCATGGTCCAGTGGTGGGAGTGTGACATAATTCAAAGTCTTGTTACACTGATGAGGTTCATGTTGGTGATTATGATGAAATATTCATTATTTAAGTTGGTTAAATTCAATGTTTATATCATCTCAGAGCCATCAAAGCCCATCTTCAAGCCCATATGCTCTAACACATAACTCAAGTGGTGGGGGTTGAAGGGTTGGGGTTTCCAGTGGTTGGGGTGTCCAGTGATGGGGGTTGGGGGGTGGGGGTGTGTAGTGGTGGTGTGTCAAGTGGTGGAGGACCGCATCGAGGGAGGTAGGGACACACCGATAAATACGCATTACTCAGCCACACGCCGTGGAGTGCACATCTCGCTCTCCTACCGTTGAACGGTTGCTGCTGTGACACCACACCACTAACTGGTGGGCTCACACCGATGGAACATTCATTACTTGAAGGATCTTTGAAGTATGCAGACGTATGTTTTTACATAGATGATGAAATTCGTTACGAAATGGGTGGAGAGCAAGTGGATGTTATTAGAAAACCCGGGATAACATCTACAATGAAAACCATGATATCATTTGGACAATCACATGTTAACACATTATTGACATCTGGCTGGAGACTTTTACTGGGTGAGATGATATGGTCGATATTTCCGAATAAGGTATTATTTTCTCAAAGTTTCGAAGAGAAAACATTTACCGTGAATTTAACCCGTTACAACGAAAACTAAAGCTGAGCTTGCATACTATAAACTTTCTTATGTATTTCATTAATTTAATCCACAGCTTGAATAAATTGCGTTCATACGCGGGTTTATGCAATTCATTCTGTTTTTTTTTGTATTCCAACAATTGAGTTCATGATTACTTGTATTGAAAAGCCTCGAAATGTGGATATGACTTTGTGATTCTCTCATCATTATGCAATAAATAGCTTCGAAAATTGATAAAATTCTTCATTTCATTTTTTCAACTTCCGCAATATGAATAAAATGGTGAAAGACTTGAGCATTGAAAATATACGTGATGATTTTATTATAAGATTTCACCTCCTACTTTTCTCGGATTCAAATCGAAAAATACCTATTTTATGAAAAATTGATAGAGGCCAAAATTATAGAAAATTCAATTTCATACAACTTTGATCGTAGTAATTTTTCTTTTGAAATTGAAAATAAATGAGATAATTCCATTATAAGATTTCACCTTCTACTTATTTCAGGTCTTAAATCGAAAGATATCGATCCTACGGAAAAATTGATAGCGATCAAAATTGTAAGAAAATTGAATTTTATACAACTTCGTTCATCAAAAATGTTCTCGTAAAGTTGAAAATGAACGTGATAATACAATGATAAGATTTCACCCCTACCTTTATCGAAAAATATCGAGTTGGCTTATCGTATGTGGGACCTCTTTGAACTCCCATCATTACGTGGGACTTCTTCAGACATATGGACCATCAAAAAATTTAATTTTATACAACTTTTGTCATTACTATCTTTCATGTGAAATCAAAAATAAGCGTGATAACTCAATGATAAGATTTCACTCTCACCCTTTCTCGAAAAATATCGATTCTACGAAATGAAAGTCATCCAAGGTTGAACCCAAAACCATACCTCAAAGTCACCTTCTGACGTAGTTCAAGGGTGTGACGCAGGTGAAGGTCGTTCAAAGTCGAACTCAAAAGACTTCTTCAAAATCACCTTGTCGACATCGTGTGACGTATGTAGAGGTCATTTCGATGTTAAAAGTGTCTTGCGACCCCCCACCACCACAACTCGATGCGTTGACAGATGGCGATACGAGCAAGCAGTGGCCGTTGGAACTTCAGGGAGTGTAGACGTGTGCACTCTCTGTCGCGATAGATACCATCCAAACTGATTACCACTGAGGATCACTAGTCAGTGGATCTTCGTGGTATGCAGACGTATGTTTATTCTGTACAAACTGGTACAGAGTACACATGAAGGACAATGTCAAACCCTAACTGTACTGTGTATGCAATCTAGTTTCAAGGTCAAAACTCAAGGTCACATACCCAAGACAGACTAAAATCTCAAGGTCAATCTCCAGGGTCATGCGACTTTGAACATCGTTCGAAATAGCCGTGAAAATATATAGTGCGAATGAAAGTCATTCAAGGTCAAATCCAAAACATTACCTCAAAGTCGCCTTGTCCGCATTACCTTGTGACATAGTTCAAGGGTGTGACGTAGGTGAAGGTCGTTCAAGGTTGAACATCATGTGTTGTCAACATCATGTGACGTATGTAGATGTCATTACGAAATTGAAAGTGTCTTTGAAATAATCAAGTGAATCAATGAAGTTCATGAAAATATAGAGAGTGAATGAAGGTCATTCAAGGTTAACGCAAAAACACTACCTCAAAGTCGCTATGTCCACGTTACCTTGTGATGTAGTTCAAGGGTATGACGAAGATGAAGGTCGTTTAAGGTCGAATTCAGAACACTTCTTCAAAGTCACCTTGTCGGCATCGTGTGACGCATGTAGAAGTCATTTCAAAGGTTAAAATGTCTTCGAAATAGCCGCGTGAATCAATGAAGGTGGTAAAAATATTGAGTGTGAATGAAGATCATTCAAGGTTAAATCCAAAACACTACCTCAAAGTCACCTTGACTGAGTCGCCGCTATGTAACGTATGTCAAGGGTATAAGGTAGATCAAGGCCGTTCAAGGTCGAAGCCAACTCGATGCGTCCACCACAGGTTATCCACACCACCAATTCCAACTCGAGCAAGCAGTGTTCGTTGGAACTTTACGGAGTGAAGACGTGTACACTCTCTGTCCGATGGGTACCGTCCAAACTGGTGAAGAAGGACTGCTCATCAGTCGGTGGATCTTCGTGGTATGCAGACGTGTGTTTATTCTGTACAAACTGGTACAGAGTACACATGAAGGACAATATCAAAGCCTGACTTTACCGTGTAAGCAATCTAGTTCCCTAATCTCAAAGTTGAATTCCATGTTCAAGGTCATGTTTCATGAACATAACTGAAGGACGTCCTTTAAGGTCAATTGAACGGTTGCTGATGTGACGTCACACCACTAACTTGGTGGGCTCACACCGATGGAACATTCATTACTTGGAGGATCTTTGAAGTATGCAGACGTATATTTGTACACGCACATGATAAACCCTTTACCGTGCATTCTCTCTCACACACACACACACACACACACACACACACACACACACACACACACACCAACCAAATGTAATTACGTCATTATGTCACACACACACAGAATCTCATACGAAAAAAATTTTGAATGATCCATGCACCAGACACTTCAAGGTTACATCGCCTTAATTTTACTAAACAAAAAAACAATTAATAGGTCATAGTGGTGAGGGGAGGCCCAGAAACGGCTGTAATCTACTACTCACGTACTAGTAACATATATGATGGAATTGGCCGATACTTGATGAACATCCATAATGTATCCAAAAAACACTTTATTATGAGATTTTTACTAAACAGTTTTACAATTAAGTGTTTTCGAATGTGATTGTAACAATCTGAATTGATTCATAAAATGGTGATTAACTCCAAACAGTCTCAACATTATTCGTTCTCCAGCGTCTATAATATCGCTGTTGAATTTAATTTTGAAAGATTCAACTTTGAGAAACGAATTTGAGAAATTCTACGAATCCCACTTAACAGCGATATTACAGACGCTGCAGAACGAATAATGTTGAAAATGTTTGGAGCTGATCAACATTCTATACATCATTGTAGAATAGACCGTTTTTCGGTGAGAGATACTAACACGAAGACACTAAATTCAGCAACTGTACCATCCACCACTTCAGCAATTCATCAACATTTTTTTGAGAACTTATTATCAAGTTCAAACATGACTGAATACTAACAGCTACAGATTGGAGATGGGAAAAAAGAGACTGTTTTTGTTGATAAAAACAGCAGAACCATTAGCACCTTCAGAATTACTGAAACTACTCCATTGTAGTTGCACATTATCTAACTGCAGTGAAACTTGCAGTTGTAGAAAAGCAGGGATAAAGTGCACCCGATCATGCAAGGGGCGCAAAGGTGAAAATTGCACTAGTGCATCAGATCTCATTGAATAATACTTATGACATCGGTGATGATAACAATACGAACTTCGAGTACGGAAATTTCGATAATCCACAAAATACTAACTGTTCAGTATATCGAAAAGTCATTCAGGCAATCTACGGGTCAGACCCAGATACTGACTCTGACGAAGAAGCCGAACCGCAAGAAGAAAGATCTGATACAGAAGAATTAAGAGAACGGGAAGATGAGAAAGGAGAAGACACCAAAATTCCAACTTGTCCAGCAGGAGAAAAGTAGGTCTGTTCAGTTACGAATCTGAATGTACTAAGTTGTTCTCAAGTTTCTCCTCCAAAAAAAAAGAGAAGAAACCCATTATAGAATGAAACACTGTTATGTTTATTATTAACATTTTTCCTACTCATTTTGTAATTTAGGTAAAATAAATTTCCATATATAAAAGTATACTAAACAATACTATTTAAACCTTACACTATTTTCAAAATGATGAAATGATTTATAATAATAATTTGCAGTTCGAAATAATAAAGAAGAATTTGTTACGAACATGAAATTTTGAAAAAATGGCAAGAAAATAAGTTAATAGAAGAAAAACTAAGTAATTTTAACTAAACAATTGCATCGGTTGCAGATTGAATCAAAAAAGGGCATTTCCTGAAAAATATATTATCATATTTGCGTATCAATATATTACATTACACATTGTATGATATGAAAGCTTGAAGCGAGATTCACCTATTTCACATTGGTCGTAGCCAATACTACGTGGTAGAAGATCATCATAAGAAATGAGAAATGAAACTTTTTGTTTTTTTTTATCACTTTTATTTGTAACTAACGTTACTGCGGTTTCGTCCTATAAGGACATTTTCAAACTTATA